GTGCAAACGTTACCGCTGCTGCTGGGTTGAGATTCACGAGTCCGGAGCGGAATTAAAAACACAACATTCATTTAAGGTCATTGCGTGTTTTGTGAGCAAATGCTTTTGCATATTCGTAGTGTTGCTCCCTTAAATGAAATATCTACTTTGCAAGTATTGCAAGTTGCCCTGTTGTCATCCGTTCTCGTAAAGTATAAACCAAACTTTTGAGCGTTTGAGCCGCTTAGGCGCTATGTTTCCTGCCAGGTAAATGACGCTCCGCAACGTGGTGACGTCATTCATGGCAATTGGAATCGATAAGGGAATCGTTTGCAAAAATGACAAACAATTCCAAGGAATTGAAACAGTGGGAACCGGTTCTCAACAAGAACCGGGTTTTGATACCCATCCCTACTTGCCCTTTACTAATACCTGAAAAGTCATGTGTGACTTCTGAGTTATTTAAATCTCTAGATAAGACAGGCATTGAATCTATATTTTTGCAGAAACTTTTAGCCTTCAAAGTCTAAAATGCTTTACATGTTCTACTGGGCTTTTGTTGAAAGTGTGTTGAATTTCTGTACTGTTTGTTTGGAAATGCCTCTGAGGGACAGAAAAAGACAATTAGAAAGACAGTAATGATAGCAAGTAATTTGCTGGGAATGGTATTACCAAGCCTAGAAAGCATTTACAGGGACTGTGTATGAAGTAAAGCAAAATAATATTGTGAGTGAACCCTCCACTTGTCTCCTTTAAACTGATGCCATCTCCATGGCTTTATCATCCCCTTTTGTTGACAAAACAAAAACAGGTCCAAATTATCTTTTACTCCTATCAAATTTTTGAACATGAGCAACATAAATGTTTCCAAATTGGTGTTGCCAAAAAATATTTTTATCAGTAGATTGATCTTACTTTTGTAAAAGTTATAGTTCAATGTAGTTTTGATGAAGGAAATATGGCCTGAGTGGTCATAGAAAGGATTTAAAGGTAAAAATGGTTTTAAGTGCTTAAAGCTCCGGTTTTTATCACAAGGGCTAAAAACACAGATGGTTGTCACTTCTGGGCAAAAAGCAAGTGTTTTAAATTATTTCACTTTCCCTTGTTATGGAGCATAAAGGAAGGAAATATGTTTTAAAGAAGGTTGGCTTTGGTTTTACAATTTCGTACTTTAAATGCACCTTAGTTTAAATGCAAACTTTTGAGCAAATGTTTGAGATAAAAATGTTTCAAAAGTATGTGATAAGAAGTGTTACATGTTCACCATGAATCGTGATCTCGGGGTGGGGGATCCCCCCCCCTCCCCTTCTGCTCCCCACTCATTGTCATACACTTCAATTATGAAGTTCGCCGGCACTTTTATATAATAGGAGTTAACTATTAAACTAACTGTTAGTTTTGGTTCTTTCATTTGTCAACCTAGTGTCCTAAGCAGTATTTACGTCACCTTGGTTTCTTGGGTGTTTATTTTTATCTGGTGTTCCAGAAAAAGTAAGGGGAAAAAGGCACTGCAGCATGCCTTGGCCTTCTGCCCTGTATTTGATTCCCATTTATTAAGAATAAAATGTGCCATGTTTGCTTGAATGGTTGGTAATTGTGTTGCATTATAATATGTATTAAATTATCTTTAAGAAAATGAAAGTTGATGGGCATAGTCAAGAATTAAGTTAAAGTTATGTTGACTTAGTTATGCTAGGACTGATAAGTACAATAATCTTTATTGTCACTATATATATACAGTGGAACTGGATGCAGTATTGTCAGTGCAAAGAATAAAATCTAAACTGTACACCTGACTATGATCAATTGTGAGATAAATTATTGGGACATTTTTCAACCACCTTTGAAAACCTCTTCCAGATATCTGGGAACTCTTCCCTACCACCCAGAGCCTGTGACAATTTTCCCCTGTGCAACGTTATTCCTTCTTAAGCTTCCACTATTAAATCCTTGTGTCTGCCTTCACTTACTACTTCTTCTTGATTTCTTAAGTCATCCTACAGACTACCATCAAATTCTACCTATCTACATTGTCACATTGCAGCTGCCTATTTCTTTCAGATTGGACCTGTTTTCCTTTTTAGCTACAGGTTTCTTGTTAGACTCAGAAATAACTGACAAAAAAGGGAGAAGACCAATGGTGAAATTGCTACTTTCTTCACACTTTAGAAGAATGTGCATCCTAGAAGGTGGATTTTAAAAACAAAAATTTGGAACAATATCTGAATATGTGGGACAAGTGATAAAAATGTAGTGGAGTCCTACATAAAGAGGGACCCGTGCTCACCCTAAAACTTTTTAACACTCACAAAATTATCATTTATGTTACTAAACAAAATCGCATTTTTAACGTGGCTTTGCTGCTTTATTCTTAAATCTCATATAGTTTATTATAAGGTCCAATCCAAAAAAAATATGTTATTCTTATATTTTATTGTGAAAAAAAGGTTGAAAACAGGAAGTTGCGCTCTACGTAGGCGTTTGCGTGACGTAACACGTAAATAAGTTGATCAAGCTGTTATTAGCTAGGTTGTTTTCTTCCTTTAGCCTTAATCTCTCGCATGATATTAATGACTGGGTGACATTTACACACAGCTCTTGGGAGATAAACCGGAACTGACACTTTAACCAACAAATGAGGATATGCCATCCGACTTTGTAACATATACAGAAAGTACACCTTGTGAGGACGAGAAACCGAGAGTCAAACAGCTAACAGCGGTCAGCGCCGCAAATCTCCACACCGTGTATCGCTCATGCTGACTTTCTCTTCCATTTCTTCTTCGTTTTTAGTCGGCCTTTAGATTCGCCAAGTCCGGTCAGTGGTTTCTCCAGAAGAGAATGAACTGGTTTTTCCCAACCTCCAAAGGCTCTGGATCTCTCCCTCCTCTGAACAGCTTACAGCAACAGAGACAGCGGCAGATCGAGTCCCTAAAAGCTGCCCACCCGAGGTAATAACGATCCGTCACCCCAAAACCCGACCCGTGAGATTGTTTTATGGTCACCACGATGTTTCCTGAACATTTTAATGGTGTTAAATAGAAAACACCCTCACTCAGTTTACCAACACACCTGCTGTTTACTTCTCAGAGCTAGCTACTTCTCATAGTTAAGTTAAAAGTACCTCATGCTAGCAACCAACTTTTCGTTTATTATCGACCACATTTATCCCATCTGTTCTCTAAACATTCAAATTATGTAATACTATTTTAGTTAAACCCACTTTTGTGAAGCCCCTTAGTCTGGTTTGTAAGCTAATCTTGCTAGCCTTTTCTCATGGCTAATTAGCGCGTGCTATGTTAGCATTAAATGACAGGGTCTATTTTTAGGGCTCGTGGCTGGACATGTCCTGTGGTCATGTGTTTGCCATGCATGTAGTTTTAAGATGAGCTTGTTACTGAGAAGTGGAGATTAAAGTATTAGCCTTTGTTTATCAACGAATGTTTCCAGCGTAAGCCACTGTTGTGGTTCATTTCTTGAGGAGTCACAGTCTTCTCCCTCCTAATGCGAATTATGCCAAGTGTGTGACAAAGAAAGGGGGTTACACAGTTTCTGAGAAGGAACCAAGCATATCAAATGCAGATCATGTGCTTTTAGATACCGCGGAGCTCTGTTGAATGCTTCTCATATGATGACACTGATGTTACTAGGTGTAAGGTTAAGGTTTTCTACATGCTGCTTTGACATGGTAATTGATTTTTTTGGGGGTGCTGACTGTTTAAACCCCTTATATTGACTTCCGGACCAACTTCAACATGAACCTTCTTTGCCCTATTTTTTCAAGTTGTGATTTTATAAACAGTGTAGCATTACAATTATTCCATCATTTCACTGGTGCAGTTTATCTGTTGAAAATGCAGTTATTCAGATAAATAGTGGTATCAGCAGCATTAGAGGCAGTGAAAGGGAAAGTTCATTATTATCAGACACTGACAGACACTTGTGTGTGATTTTAAAACCTAACATGTCAAGTGTATTAATTGCTCTTTTTTGTGAAACAACTCTTTTTTTCCCTACCTTTTCCCCAGCGATCAACTACTAAGTACCATAAATAGATTGCATTTACTTATTCATGAAAACTATGTTCACCTTCTGTGCCATTTAATCCCTCACCAACAGAATTTGTTGGGTGAGGATAAATACTGAATCTATCATTTGCTCTTCAAACTAGCAGAATTTCATAAACCTTGACCTTAGGTGTATAATTCTTCTTTTGCATCTTCTTTTGATTGCATGTTGATAAATCTTCAAATTTCTGGCCCTGTTCCTGTTTTACAGCCTTGCAGAAATCCAGAAGGATGTGGAATACAGAATACCATTCACAGTCAACAATTCAACCATTAGTGTTAACATGTGAGTACATTTATACACCTACCAGGTGGCATCAAAAAGTTCTAATTGTATGTCTGTGAAAACAAAGAGCCTTACCTTAGCTCACATTGGAGATCATTTTCTCATATACATCTGGCTGCTTTTTTTTTTTTAGATCTCTCACTACTATCATTATATTCTCTTGCATTTCTGCTTGGTTTTTATTTTCAGTAAGTGCATTGAACTTTGCACTGGGAGTCTCACACCATTGGGTAATGATAATAGCATCTCATGTACCGCATTGCCTTCAGGCTTGGAGACTGTGGACTGCAAACTGCTGTATTGTAGCCAGAGCCTGTTATAACCAGCCGTGTTTTTTCAGATGAAATTTGGGTCAGTTTAAAAGAGTGGTCAGAATGGGAATAATAGCAGCCATGCTGGAGGCTGCTTAAACATACCCAGCATTATGACGGTCAACATGGGTTAGGCCAAAAAGGATTTTGGATTTTATGGGCCTCTTTTCTGAAACTTTTTGTCACACTGCATACAGTAATTTCAGATTATCAACAGACAATGGTCTGTGTGCCTCAAAGTCAGTCTGTACTTACACCACTGATTGAAATCTGACTGTAAATTAATACAAAAGAAGGCTAACATTACACGAGAAACAAGATAGAAATATTCAGATTTCCACAAAGAAGATGAGACAAGAAAAACTAGTAAAGCCGGTTGAGAACCCAAATATGTACCATAGGCTCTAGTAACTCACATCAGGTAGTCAAATGTTTGTGAGAGCTCTTAGGAAAAACCTTTGTCACACATTCGCTCTCATTTCTGCTTCTATTTTTGTCACCTATAAAGAAAATATGGGGATATATAATATACGCTTTATAGGTGTGGAGGACTGTCCATTAATGGGTCTGGGTATTTCAGAACTGTATTTGCCATAAACATTTTTGACAGATGCCACTTTGGCATGTAACAGCAGGTAAATACAGGTGTTACTAATCCCAAGAACAAAATTTATGACACAATAAATACCTACATTTTCAGTAATCCTGCTCTTATAAAGTCTGTTTCTTTGTTTATCAGTTAAGTTCTCATTTGCTTCCTGCATAATTGACTTGTGTCCTATTGATAATCAGTAATGTTTATTGATTATCCAGCAATACTACATCATAACTAGATTATATTATCTGGGCTGTAAATTGTTGATAGTTAACATTAAAGGGTTTAACTAAGTTAAACACTTCTCTTTTGTTACCCTTCATTTCAGTTTGCTGCCTCCTCAGTTCCCCCAGGAGAAACCAGTGGTTAGTGTCTTTCCCCCTGTTGGTCATCATTTAGTGGACAGCAATAATGGCACTATGATCAAGAGCCCCCTCATCACTAATGTAAGTAGCTTTTGAGAATTAAAGAGTTGGTTTTTTTTTTCAGATCTTAAACAAGAATTATAAATTATGGCATCCTGAATCAATACTTATAATGACACAGATAACACTTTTTTTGTTTAAAGTGTCATTGCACAAATGCGTGTGTGGTTTTCTTTTTTGTTTCTTTGTTTTTCAATGATTTGTGTGGGGGGAAAAAAGAGAGAGAAACAAAGGGAAGTAAAACGCTGCAAAGTAACAGCATTGCTGTGAAAGCAGCAGGACAAGTTGAAAGATCATTACTCACGGTAGTGTCCAAGATAACTACATTTCTCATCGGACTAAAAGTGAAAGTGAAATAAGTAACTTAAAGTCAGGGGGTTTCCAAGCCTGAGCAGTAGGTCTTCTCACCACCAATCAAATGCTCTGTGTCTTCAACCAAGAAGAATAGTTTAATTCTATTATCCAGTTTACTTGGAAATACGTATATGTAATCCAGTGTTCTAAAGCTATAATACATCATCTGCACACACATAAATAAATAGCATACTTTAGAAAGCATCTTGAATGTAACCAAATTTTAAAAAATAATTTAATACATAATTAAATTGATTATGTTACACACTTCAATGCATAATTGTAAACTATGACAGATCCAGATAGAGTGGGGAGAGCTGTCGTCGATGCACAGCTTTCTATCTGGTATCCTTGCTTCATTTGTGCACATAAACCAGGTGTTCATCAGCTGCAAAAACATGTACTTGTTTGCTTTTTTCTGTTTCTTTCATTGGTTCATTGTGAAGTAAATCCACTTATTTTAGGTTCTTCTGTTAATTCATGCTTTCATTTTATCCATGTTACTGTATTTAGTTGTTGTTATATATGTTCTAGTTTGGGATGCACTCAGACCTGGGAAAGGTCATCCAAAGTCTGCTTGACGAGTTCTGGAAAAGTCCTCCCGCCTTGATGTCTAGCGGTCCTTCTGGCTTTCCTTAGTAAGTCTCCTCCTTCTGTCATTGAGAATATAAGACACTTATTTCTCAGTACTTTCTTATGGCATTTCAAGTGTGGTCTTATTTTAAATATTATTTTAAAGTGGTTCTAAAAAGCAGTTTGGTATATTTTTTCCACATTAAAAATCATTTAAACATTGATGTTATGTCTTTTATTCTTTCCTTTTTTTCACTGGAGCAGTATGTACAAATCATCAGGTATAGCACCTTACCCCAATCCGGCTTTTCACTTTGGTTCTCGCCACATGGGACCCAGTCAGACACCACCTTCTGGTCCAGCCCCTGCGCCAATGCCTCACCCAGGGGTCGATAGTGCCCTTGGGCCCCCTCGAGCTCCAGCGCCATATGGAATAATTTCTGACCTGCCACTGCCTGTACCTATTGGAGATTCAGAGGTATGCAATTGTTGCACAGTGTATAAAAATGGAATGGTAACAGTCAAGCATATAGCAAGCAAAGCATCACCTTCACCAAACCAGATAAAAGCATTGATCAAAAAGTTGTAGGTTCCTCCACCTATATCCCAGGTTCTGGACTGCTTCCAGCACAAATTCTGTTTAATAAAGATTGCTTTGTAAATGTAAACATTAGCCGGGCTGGAAGCAATCCACGAATGGTTGAGAAAATGTCACTGATGGGGAAATCAGTGACATTTTTAAAGGTAATTTTGTGGAACTCAAGGATGTATTTTACCCCAAACCAGAACTTTTTGTTGAACCTAATCAAGTATTTTTCAGCACATGAACCTAACCAGAGTTAAACCAAAAGTGAAAAACAAGTGAAAAACAAAACAAATCAGCGATTGAAGAAAAAATCCAAGCTTGGGAAACAAGCCATAGTGACCTGCCAACAAATCTACAACTAACACGCCATACAACTAATGTGGACTTCCTAGGTCGCTCAAATAAAACTTTAATCTCATGCTGGCCAATATTAGTGCCACTAGTGCATGCACATTGCACATTACAGGAAGAAGCAGATGGCATCAGACAAAATTACTCAGAGAACTAGCATTGGACAGTCCGACACAGCTCTAGTGTTCAGACATTAATACACTGAAGATTGTGATGTGAATATATAACTTCTGTTTCTTCTAGACTAGACTAAATGGACACGTGTACAAGATGCCTGAGATTCCTGAGTCTTTTCCTGAACTCTGTGACATGAAGTAAAGTATTCCTTAATGATTTCAAATTAAAATGTTTGCACAGTGTGAAATGTTTGTTCGTGACAAACATTATTTCATACCATTATTGATGTATTCAACATCTTACCCGCTGTTTATTTAAAGTGATAGAAATAATTATAAATAAAGCTGAATTTATAAGTTGCTCACTTAGAAAGAAAGCGATAGTGTCTAATTTTTCATTTTAATGGTGAGAGACAGATTATCAACCCAAAATGCAGAAAAATCTCCAACAAGTATTTGGAAAATCTAGAACTATAAAAATCCTGCTCCAGGGGGGGAGCATGATTATGAGAAAGGTGGTGGATCAACCTGAAACTACATGGGAAGAACTTGTTAGTGATCTGAAGACAGAACACCATGTAAGACTCTTGCCATAAATGACTTAAATCTTTCAGCACCTGCAGGGTCCCCCTGCTCAAGAAGGCACATGTAGAGGCATATCTTAAGTTTGTTAGTGAACATCTAAATGATTCAGAATTGGCAGAAAATGCTAGGGCTCAGCTCAACGAGCCGTGTTTGGAGTATGAAATCTGCTGAGTATAACCCAAAGTGCACCGACCCGACAGTCAAGCAGCAGTTAAAACTTTATAGATTGTTTTTTTTTTGTTGTTGTTTTTATTCTAAGCGTACACGATGACTTCACTCCACTGAGGGTTTTGGTTAATATTTTGTCTCTATCCATTAAAATGAACCTACAATAAAAGTTACAGGCTTTTCATGTCTTTTATAAGTGGGCACACACATCAAATAATTACTCTCTCACCTATCTGCCCATTTATCCACTTTTTTCTTTATCCATCCCCAGCCTGACACAGTTGTCAGATATGTCTGAAAACGAAGATGTGTTGCTCAAGTTTTTTGTGAGTTTGCCACAACTGAAACAGGTCACATCTGATAAAGAAGATTTGGTCAACAGTATACTGGACATGGCCAGTAAGTTCCTCCCCTGTTCTCATAGATGGTCTTGCGAGTCATAGGAAAGTGAAGCTCTAATTTAAGTTGGTCTCAATGTGTTTTTGCAGAGAAAAATCTTCAAATGGAGCCACATCTGGAAGGAAAAAGACAAGAGATGCTCTACAAGGTCAGTTCATACGTAATTCCTCTTTGTTTCATAATCAAGTCAAGTCGGTGTATTTATAAGCACATTTTAAAAAACACAGTTTGACCAAAGTGCTGTACTAACTGAAAAATAGAAAAGTAATAAATATATACATCAATATAGAAAAATAGAAGATAAGCCACAAAAGCAAAACAACTCAGTCACCGTAAAAAGCTAGGGATTAAAGAGGTGTGTTCAGACAGGTAAAAAATGTTAGAGAGGTCAGAATTTGAAAAGGCAGGCGGTTTTAGAGTTTAGGCGCAGTAACTGCAAAGGCCCGGTCTCCTCTCTGTGTCATCCACACATGGCTCACATATTCGTTCATGCCATTGTCCTGCTGCTCATTATGTGTTTTTGTCTCTTGTGCTAACAGTATGAACAGCTGACTCAGATGAAGTCAGCTTTTGAAACAAAGATGCAGAGACAGCACGAACTCAGTGAGGTAAATGGCCACACCCGCACACTCTGGTTTTACATGTAATACATGTTTAGTGCAAATACACGCCTTGAAATGAGAGTTTTGACATTTTCATATGTTTATTCCAATAGTGATTTATTATTTTGTTGATTAAAACTGAGCTTGGGTTGTTTAATATACTGTGTAACTTGTGAATTGTATAACTGTGTAATTGTAGTACTCTTTGTTACTTAACCCTCCTGTTATGTTGCAGGTCAGATTGACCCAGAACAGAATAGATGTCACATGTCATCTGCATCACTACAGAAAACAAAACAAAAAAATCCAAATTATAAAAGAAATTTGTAAAATAATCAATGCCAGTGTTTCTGACACTTTTGGATGAGTAAATTTGCCCTGGGTCAAATTAACCCAGGAGCATAATTGGTGTTCCTGGAAACCAACATAACAGGAGGGTTAAGCTAAGCTTGATTGACTGCTTAGTTTCCAGAAAACCAAGCACAAAAAGAAAAAGTAAAATATAACATACAGACTTAATTGGTGACTACATGTCGGTCTGCTACAGTTGTGGTCAGAGGTTTATATACACTCATCAATGACGTGAACGTTGTGGTGATTTTTTGGCTTTTAATGGACTTTTCCAGGGTTTAATGATTGCACAGCATATATCTTTATTCACTTTTAATAGCAAGTATTGGGTGCATAAGTTTGAATTTCTTTTGAATTTTCTTTAATCCACACAGGGTCAAAAGTATACACTAAAGGCTCAAATATATACATACAGTTACTTTAATCTTTCAGCAGGTTATCCTGAAGATTTTACATTGTCTTTTTACTTGACTTGGCCAATATAAGGTCCCTTCACCGGCAGCACTCATTAGATTGAGCAATACTCTAAAGAAGAGCTTATAGATATCAACCCAGACATGTTTGCCTGTAAACACTCTTTGATCATTTTGTATTTCATTTATGTTTTGTCTTTGTTTTTTTATTTTACTCCCTACCAGAGTTGCAGTCTAAGCACTTTACAAGCTCGGTTAAAAGTCGCAGCTCACCAGGCAGAGGAGGAGTCTGAGGAGACGGCTGAAAACTTCCTGGAAGGACGTATTGACATTGACGAATTCCTGAACAGCTTCATGGAAAAAAGAACAGTGAGATGCTAACAACAACAAGAACGACAAAAAACCATTTATACCTAGAATTGGCCAGGAGCCATTTTTATGCTGTTTTTTAATTCATGTTTCATTCATGTTTTGTTATATGAGTCAGAGTTAGCTGGGTTTGATTGAACGATACATAAAAAGAGGACTGGAGTTGGATAAAAAAATCATTTTTTTGAGTTTTGAATGGGATGCAAACAGGGTGTTAAACCTGTAAGGAACTGGAGAGAGGCTGATGACGGTCATGATAATGACAAATCTATCATGCAAAGCCTACCCGCTGTGTTGACCCCTTGTGGCAAGGCAAAGCTGAAAGTAGCTTCTTTTATTTGTCATCATTGAAGTAATTTAAAAATAGAGGTTTTATTGAACCTCCTGACACTTTTTAAAAATGATAGTTTTAATTTGTGCCATATTTACTGCATTTGACTCTATTGTAATTTATTGTAAATTAATGTTAGGTGTGAATGTTATAGGAAGTACTGCACTTAACATTTTAAGGGGAAACTTCAGATGACTTTGGTTTTGTTTTCCAGCTTTGCCACAGCAGAAGAGCCAAAGAAGAGAAGCTGCAACAGTCCATCAACACACATGGCCCGTTTCCTACCAGTCACTAGATCACAAGGTAGAAGAATCACAGCACAGCACACATTACTAAGTCGCATTGCAGTCACATGTCTGTTTAAAGGGTAAAAATGCTGGTTCTCAACTTTTACAATGACTGTAATAACCTTTCCTCTTTTTTTTGGAAAGGAAAAAAAGGAAATTGTATTTTTCATTCTCATTTATTAATTCTGCTTCTCTCACCATTTCTTTGGTCCTCAGATTCAGTGTTTCTCAGCCAACTGCTGCCAAGTAAAAGGAAAAAGTTATTACAGGGGCCGAAAAGCACACTGGGCACTCATCAGTTTGGAGAAACATGAAGATTTTGATTGCAATGCTGGGCTAAAAGAAGAAGCCTATGGTGTCCAGATCCAAGCTTAAAAAACAACAAACAACACAACAAAACAAAGCAAAACAGAAAAAAGCAGTTAAAGTTGGATCTTGTGAGAGTAACGTTGAGTCACCACAGGAGGCCAAACCTTGGAGGATGAGTGGCACATGCCTAGATGCTCCAGACACATTACTATGGATTCATCACATTGTGGATACTTTTATTGCACTTTTTTTTCCAGTTTTGACATGGCAGTGATTACAACAAGCTTTGTTTTCTCTTTAGATTTATGTCACGTTGCTCATAAAATCTTGCCTGTTCTTAATCAGGAAGGTTGGAGATGTGAAGAAATTTGGAAGAAAGTACAAGTTGTGTAGTACAGTGCCCCTAATCTTCCATTTTCTTTGCTGTGGGCTAGTTAGTATCACTTAAAAAGTTATTCTGAAATATTGGTGTCTGTACCATACATCTCTGAGATCAGTCCTTGCTTAATCATCCCATTACACTTTACGGAGATGTTGTGCAGCCAATGCACTTTCAGCGATAATTTGTCCAAGACAGCCATGACTGTCAGTGAGTTAAACAAAGAAAAGAAGCAAGGACTCAACAGTTCGGTCAGGAGACATTTAATTGGGCTGTTAAAATTTAAACTATGTGTTTTCAAAGTGGAAAGTGGTTGATTGTTAATCAAGCTGTCAGTTTGAGGAAATCCTAAACACAGCCGGAATATCATTACATAAACATTCATAGTTAAGGTTTCAGATTTTCTATCAGTACTCTGATAATCCCTCAATTCATGTACTGTAAGTTGTAATACATTTGTTTCCAATTCAAAGTTAACGTGAACCAAGCAGACCACATAACATACTGTAAGAGCTGTTTCAGTTGTTAGTTCCTGTATTGTAATTCTGCTTATTGAGGGTCACGTGTTTAAAACCAATGCTAACACGATTAGCATTTGTGGTTCTTGTTTTTAGCACTGAAAGCAAATATTTTTCCGCTCAGAGGGCGGGTTAAACTACATTAACTCAAATCTGACTTCTTCAGTCCCTCTTTTGCTTTTTACATTGATTGATTTAAAAAAAAAAAAAACATTCTCGATGTAAACATGCTGACCACCACTTTTCCCTTATATGCACAGTTATGATCGCCTGAGAAACTGTTTTCTGACACCTGAAACCTCAAACTTGAAATTTCTGCTGAAAAGCCTCAGAAGATGTGGGATAATGTTGAGGAATATTAGTTTAAATGCTGCAGTAAAACTCAATGACATTGGATACTGTATTTAAATAATGTTAATAATAGGCTATATTGTAATCAAAGACTCGAGACACCTTGTATTATATGTTCTTATTTAATTTGTTAGAGTAATAAAGCATTTAGAATAAATTCTGTGATCACATTCTTTTTAACATACCAGCATTGCCTGAAAGCCAGAGGTTCTCAGGGTATCCTTGGGCTGCATGATGTCAGTAAGGTGTCTGACCATGATGTGGAATTTGTTCAATGAACATACAGAGAAATCCCCAACAATCAAATTATCACTAAGTGAACAGCCTCTTGGTAATACTGGGAAGGAAAAACTTGTTATGAACAGGAAGACACCTTTGGCAGAACCAGGCTCAGGAAGAGGCAGCTATCTGTTGCGACGAGTTGCGGGTGATGGGAGGAAGACGGGACAAAAAAAACACACTCTGGAAGAGAGCCAAGTAATAATAAATAATGATTAAATCCAGAGTGGTGTGTAAGCTCAGAGAGTGAAGGGTGAGTGAAGAAGAAACACTCAGTGCTCTGTAGGAAGCCCTCAGCAGCCTAAGCCTATGGTGGTGTAACTAAAGAAGGATTCAGGGTAACCTGAGCCAGCCTATACTTTATAAAATTCAATTTACACTAAAGATTATACGGTGTAATTTTTTATGGCATTAACATAAAGCACAACACTGCTACCGTATATATTGTGGTGACGTGCAGTACTGTACACACAAAACATTAAAGCTCAGTACCTATATGCACTTTCACCATTAGAAAATTTGCTTACATTATTATCTGTATGAAACTAGACACAATTTTTTTTTTTAATTCGTTCTTTTATAAAACATGAATCTTTTTGTTGCTTTGTTTGGTATCACTGGCCTGTGGGTTGCTTTTGCCTGCTGTGGATATCATCTTCATCAGTAAACAGTTTAAGAACAGCACACATCTCTCCACCACAGACTGTTCTCTCTGCAGTTTCCATGGCACCCAAGTGCATACGTCAAAGATGCAATCTCTCTGTCGACATGGCAACCTGGTAACGTTAAAACACGTCGATTAGATTAAAAAATGAATGAAAGAAAAGGGAGAGACTAGGAAAGAGGTGCCAGATAAAAGCTGAAAAACAGGTGCCAGTCAGAGGAGGTAAGCCTGAGCTAAAACACTAATAGTCTGCTGTTATTTTAGCTGTTACTTTATTTAGCAGTAGCTCCTGCTTTTCAATGAATGTGGTTTGTCTCTGTATTAATTATTTTGTGTATCTGGCTTTTCTTATGTGTATGTACCATATACTAAACCTATTCATTAAGAATTTTATGTGGAGCTGCCACTTTTATAATATTTGAAACTTAGAGGTTTTTAACATTTAACATGTTACGTATTGCTATTGTGAAAGTAAAGGGAATAATTTTAGTAATGTTAATTTGGTCATTGATATTGTGACAGCTCTAAAAAACAGGTCTGCAGGCTTGAATGAACAGAGGTGGCAGGGATGGCGTCCCGCAGTTGTTCCTCCACAGCAGCAGGTGGCAGTGATTCACCACAAAAACCTACAAAGACGAAGAGAACCCGGAGGAAAAGACGGAAGGCGCGCGCGGTAGGGGGTGAGTAGGTAAACATGTTTAAATGAAACTGGAAAGAATTACATTTTTTGTTTTTAAACATTAGAGCAACTGCAGAACTGGACAAGCAAATAACCGGGTCCATTAGCAATAACCGTTGATTGACAAAATCTCCATACTGCCGCAGATAGTTCAGTTAAAGTTGGCAAAATGTCTGGCTGTAACGTTACCTAGCGTAACCTTTCTAAAAAGATTCAGTCATAGTTACAATATTTATATAGTTGATCTTAAAAGCTAGCATCAGTAGTTTTAGCGTAAGTTAGCCGTTCGGCAAAGAAGAGGAAACTGTTTCAGAAATGATGTTATTGTTGAGTTTGCAGGAGGGAATAGTTGTAGCATTTTAACTTAAAGAACATGCTAACAGTCCTCAGAGAAAGTGCTTATTTCACTTTTTATACACTTTATCACAGAAATACGAAAGTACCGTGAATTTGGTTTGAATAACAATTTGGCAGAAAGTCGGATCGGCTGCTGGTCTTATTTAGTTTGCTATGTTTTGTTGTTGTTGTTTGTTGTTTGTTTGTTTGTTTTTATAGATGTCTACATGTGCCTTTTAGATATTTTATAACTTCTTTTTGTGTCAGTGAAATAATAAGTGTCACTTTTTTCATCACATTCTTATTTATTTATCTATTTGTTTATTATTTACGTTTAGCCAGCACAAAAGTGATGTGGGATGATCATCTTTTGTGCCTGATTTACAGATATTTAACTATATATATAAAGACCACCTTTGCTCTGTACCCACAGACATGTCACGACAGATGGGAGAAAGCCATCAAAGGTTTCTTCAGACCATGATGGTCAGTGGAGTAATCGATGAGCAAGCTGCAAAGGCTCTTTATCAGTACTGCTGTGAAACGCACAACAGTAAGTAAATATCTATACATGTGAACAACAATTGAATGAAAATTCAAAATGCACCTCATAGTGTATCTGGAGACTAGTGTAAAGTAGGGCAACAAAAAGTAGTATCACCTCCTTATTAATTATTAATAAATAATTTCTTATTTTCTTACACTAAGAGACTGTTACTATTGATTTACTGTTACACAAAAAAGCAACCTCATTACACTTGAAGGCAGTGTTACAAGACGCCTTGTACCAAAATTAGCTACTAACTCATTTCTGTCTGCAGACCCTGTGCAGATATATAAAATATTAAATAAGTTGTAAAATACAAATTTGGGATAGAAGTACAATAAGATGATGGTATATATGTTCCAATTAAAATCCTTCAGCCCAACCCTCCCCAAAAATATAGACATTATAAAATATTTTTGTGTATATGCACTAGGGCTGTGCCATTTTATATTGTCTATTGTCCATTATATCATCAGAAATATTGTCACAACTTGCTTTTTAATACTGTGATATAATTTTGAGATTATATCACCTACCTTTAATGTGCACATTATGACACCAGAACCACAATGTGTCTTGTTTTGTTTTGTTTTTTTAGGAGACTACCAAACATTGTTGTTCTTGTTTTTTTTCTGCAGCACAGTATGCACCTGACAAGCTGGAAGATTTTATTGATACTATCAACTCAAGACTGCAGCCAATGTTCATGCAGATTAGGAAAGGGATGTCTGAAAATAACGGTCAGCAGTACTACGCCTTGGTTAGTGATTTAATGCTTGTATTGGGTCTGCCTTGTCGGGCTGTTGTTTAGTATGTGTCCAAGCTGCAAAGACTTAACATGTTTTAGGATCATATTAAAGGAAATACATTATTAATTAAAGTTTAACTTTAATCCCATCCAGGTGAACATGGCTGAAACTGACATCACCAGGATGTCGTCAGATTATGCCGACAATGAACTTGAGCTCTTCAGGAAAACAGTGAGTTAAATTCACAGTAAAACAACATGTTATAGATGCCTCCACTATAAATTTTGGTATTTGTCGGGGTAGGGTTTTAAGCCTCTGGTGGTATATGTAAAACCCTGAAACAACATAACTTGTAGGTTGCAGTTCAGTGTAACAGTCTAATCAGTGACATTATCCATAAACAGTGGTCAACATTATTTTTTTGTTCAAAAGATCATGTAGGAAGTCATGAATAGATTACTACACACAGATTTGTGTCACTGTGGCTCTTGAGGTAGAACATCAATCATTTAGAAGACTGTGGTTGTGATTCCTGTCCATATGTTAGTTTCCTTGGGCAAGAGTATTGAACCCCAAATTCTGGTGTGTGTTAAATTGACAATTCGTTAACCCTGTAAAGCCCAAACCATGAAAATTCAAAATTTTGGAAAATGGAGTGTTGAGAAAGAAGTTTAAAGAAGTTTTGTATCATATTTGCTACATCAGGAATTCCTAAACATATCATGTTAAAGACACAGAAGAAATGGTATGAATGTGTGTGAATGGGTGAATGTGGCTTGTAGTAAAACTAATGTTGTGATCCACTTGAATTGTGCTCATTCAGTTGGACCTCATCGTGTGCTCTGAGAATGGCAAGGCTTCCTCTACTGATATTCTGAACAGCACAGACTCCATGACCACCAGAAAGATGAAGAAGAGTGAAACGGAGCACCTGTTGAGCCGATTAGTGCACGACAAATGGCTCAGTGAGGTAAAATACACCGTCTCTAGTAGGATTTCACAATTCTGATTATTTATTTCCCACAAACTACTTCCTCTTTTTTGTGAACGGATTATTAAAATGATTTCAGTTCTTCAAATACTTGCCTTCCTATTAACCATATTTAAAATGGGAATGCAGCAGGAGGAGGTCATACAGCTTATTGAGGTCAAATATAATTACTCCATTTATGTTTATCATTCCCATACTGCTTCCTTTATTAATAAGGCATAAAATGTCATTAATTATGGTTTTCAGTTTTAATAAAAAAGTTTTAATAAAAAAATTATTATACAAATAAAATAACGTTTATTTAGACAATCCTTCTCATTTACAGCTTACAAAACAAGATTTCTTTGTTTCAATGATGACAAAAATATAATAATAATAACATTTTGGGTATGTGTTTCAGTATGCTAGTATCATTTTAACTTCAAAATATACATAAACATTAGGTCCTTCTATTTAAAATAAATGTTTTTGTTTGTAGTTGTACAGTTAAAATATTTTGTGCAGAAGCACTCACATTGAGGCTTCTGGCCATACTAACTCTTGTATTTTTGTTAATCAGTGTTCAGTGCAAAACTTCACAATGTAGCAGTAAGTGGAAAAGTGCAATGAAATCAAAGCCTATAATGTCAAATATATACATATATAACTCACCACTTGTTTTTGTTTTTGTTGTTCTGTAAGTGTGTAATTGCGTGCTATTTGTTACCCTAGAAACGGGGCGAATACACCTTGTCCACCCGGTGTATCATAGAGATGGAGCCTTATATTCGCACAATGTATCAAGACCATGTCAAAGTGTGCCACATCTGTCGTAACATCGCTTTCCAGGTAAATGTTTCCCTTTTTACACTTAGTAATATCACCCTCGTACCCGCTTGAATTTAGGCACTGATGATCACTATAAACTGTAAA